GGCCTTCTGCACTACTTCGTCCCAAATACACTTGTTCATCTTTTTCACTAGTCCCTTCACCTGTTTTCTCTTGGCCCTGTACTTTTCCCAACTCTCCTCAGACGCCTCACTCAGGTACCTGTCTCTTATACACATCTAGATGTGTATAAGAGACAGNATCTTTCTAGATAGGTCGATGTTTGCCCATAGGAGGAAGTGGTCGGTCGAACCTTTATCTATCGCACTTACGTGCAGCTCTGGGATGTGCGTGCTCCCCCTATCTACCAGGATGTAGTCGAGGATCGAGTATTCATTGCAAACTGCCCATTGCCTGGTGAACTGCGGCTTATCGCATTCCCTCCTACCGAACGGGGGGGGGGTTGAATATTTGTGGCTTAAAGATTTTGACTGTACGAATAGATTTTGACTGCGCGTATCTTGATCGTTTTGGCGTGTTGGCGCGATACTCGTCTCTCCATCCATCCATCCTGACTTCGAGCGCCCGCCGGGGTGTTGACGTTGAAGACCACTATTGTCGTCGCCGGCAAAAATTCAGTCGTAACTTTTTTTTCATATGGCCGTGGAGCCACAGTAGTCCTCGACAAGACGTGAGTCATTTCTTCGTTAAATGCAGCCTACGGGATGAAAGGCTATCTTTTGACCTGGTGGTGACCACGCCGAGCGCGTCCGGTTCTTCGGTCCCAGACCAAGGTTATCCTGAAATTCTGGCATTGCTGTCCAGGTTGCGGGTCGCAATTCACGTTGCACATGAGCGCAAAATGGAGAGCGTGGCGAAGACGTGTGTCTCGCATAGCGGAGCCGACTTAAGCATCCGGGTATCAGAGACCCCGTGCTGTACTCTCACTGCTGTGCACATTCACCCGGCGGGTCAATCCGCAAGTCTCCTTGTTGGCCTGTTGGTCATGAAAGTGCTGATCGTCTCTTTCGTATTGTATGCATTCCACGCGCAACAAGAACCGATCCACGCACACGTACTAAACAACCGACGGGCGGACGCCCGTGAAATCACGCGATTTCTCTTGAAGAGGCCACGCCAAACCTCACAAAACAGCAACCGACATGCAGAGCATGAACGCAACGGTGCCATGAACAACGTCCTCTGCCCCAAATAAGACAGGGACAACTAGCACTACACCAGTGCGGTACCCGCACAAAATACTGACACTCGACGTCACGGTGAACACAAAACAATATACCAACAATCTGCCATAGACCTGCTTTCCACACGGCAACGCGCGCTGTGATGGACAGGTTTCACGCGGCGGAACCCTCTGGTCTTATCAGCAGATGCTTGACGCTTTCCTCCGCCGAGGACATCGGCGTGCAGCCATCATTGTCCGCGGCGTTCGCGTCCGCCCCGGCTTGCACCTGCTCCCGCACCAAAACAAAGCCGAGCGAATCACAAGACAGTAACGCACAGCGATGCGGGGTTCAATCGACCGACACCCATCTTGAAAGTCGCTTGATGTCCAGCGTGCGTGTTGTGCTGCAATGGACATCGAGCTTATGGCGGCCTTTTCGGCGTGGGCACCGAACGTTGCATGTCTGCGTTTTGATGGACACAAGCACTTGAGTTAGGGTCCACGAGATCAAGCACGATCACATTTTTGAACGCCCGAGCTGAACGGCGTCGCATCCAGAGCCCTTTGCAACAAGGGCGGGTCTTTCTCCCAAGACAAGAGCAGGTTCAAATTCGCTACCGGGAAGCCTTTGAATCACTTATGGGAGCAGCCACGCCAACACTGGGCGAGACCAGAGAACTCAAGTTGATTTCCACAACAGAGCAAGCGGGCGCGGAGAGCAAGGCTTGGTCGTCTCGAGCTGGGAAATAGGTGCCACGCCCAACGCACACGTGGCACGGCAACAGCGGACCACTGCTATGGCGGAATCTCAATCTTCGGCCTGACGCGTAGAGACGTAACAGCACGGAGTCATGCCGATGCCAAGGAACAGGCGACGTCAACCTTCTCAAGCACATCAACAGCCACAGACAGCGCACCGCCCCCGTTTCCCACGTTCGACAGGTGCCAACGTACATGCGACAAACTCATAGCGTTGCAGCCGTCGAACATGCCCGCCCTTTGTTAAACTACCCTGCATGCTCAGGCTTTGGCCTCACCAAGAGCTCCACCTCTTTCTCATTCTCGCAGGCTACGGCGTACGCGAGGGGTGTCATGCCGTCCGCATCCCGAGAGTCCACCGCCGCTCCCAGGGCAAGGAGGCTCGAGATCACCGAGGACTGGCCCCGGTCAGCAGCAAAGTGGAGAGGCGTTCTTCCCTCCTCGTCCTAAAAGGTCGTGCAGCACCATCCAACAACATAATGGTTATTGTTGTTAGCATGTACCGTCGTTCCCCACGACGACAACGCGAAGGCGATGCCAGGATCGCGCAGCACGCGCCTTCGTTGCTGCAATCTTGCAGGTTGTAAGGAGCTCTAGTCTGCCACTAATCCGTCTTCAAGCGAAAGGCGTAAGAGGACCATGTTGATACAACAACAGCGAGGGACTAGCCCTTTTCCTTCAGGCTTTGTGTGCGGCTTTTTACACATGTAGAGGAACGTGGGCAAAAGGTAATTATGGATATTATCGGAGTCTACCGAAATCGGATTCGCATCCAAAGCGGCATCTCGTGTACATGGCACGCATCGGGGCTGATGCGCATGCTCATCACTAACCGAAAGCTCAAACCTTGCCACACATCAAGTAAACCTTGCGACCGCACTGCAAACAGCATGATGAGGTGGAGAAGACATCAGTGAAGTACCTGCGCGTCAACTTTAACCCCGCTAGACACGAGATCGCGTATTCGGACGACGTCCCCTTCGCTGGCAGCCGCGAAAATCTCCTCGTTCGCGCCCCATTCCGCCGTGTTCCTATCGGATCCGGGGACACGGTTGACTGAAATGGTTGATTCGAATTGGGTGGAGTCTCTGGGCGTGAGGCGCAACGGCAACAACACCGCTGCGAGGCACACAAGGCGAAGACATGCATTTCGACTACTGTCCTAGTGCGGGCTCCGCTGAAATCACGCCATCGATCCACAGCAGAAGGAACAACGCGTCTTAAAAGTCAGCATTTGTTGGACAACGTGCCCTCGCCTATATGGGTAGTTCTTCGTGCCAAAACAAATTCGCTTCCAATAACAGCAGGACATTTGGCATAACTTCGAAGTGCTCTGGAGCGGAGAACCTAGACCGAATCTTGCGATGCTGTACGGCGCCAGCAATTAAGGTCGTACGCTCTTGTAAATACCCGCCTCACCCCTGTCCCGTTGCCATGGTACTGACGGTCACGCCAAAGCCGAGCCCGGCCCCGTTCTCGTCCTCTTCCTTGTCGCTGCCCTCCCACTGCAAGTCTTTCTTCATGTCCTCCTGGGTGACCATCCCCGCATTGCCCGGAGGCTGGCCCTGAGCCTCCGCTAACCAGTCAGGACAAAGTTCCGTAACCTTGAGGAGGTAGGACTTCATGGCCTCTACAGGTTCCATCCCGCGGAGTCGATTCCACGCTCCCCTGCGGGGAGCGAACACCGACAACCAGGTCGATCGACAATCCGGCATGGAGGGAAACGGGGACGTTACAACGACAGGAACGAGGGCGAGTTGTGAGCAATAGATGGATGGAAACAAAGGGCGTGGTAGAACCCGGAGCATCCCGGAACCCTGCCGAGGAGCACTCGGTTGACCTACGTAAGCCCACACGGCCTCACCCATCCGCAGGTACCGTTTGAACCATAATTCCTCAAAGGTCCGGTAAACACTAATCCTTGACTGACCATTTTGCTCTACCGACAAGATCGATGAGTCCAGGCTTGGGATCTTCACAGTCGCCTTCCGTGGCTTGCTTGAACAGCGAATACAGCTCCAACCTCTGGTCAGACGATAGAGCCACACCTTTCACCGTGATCATGTGGTTCGCCGCCATCCCGAACAGTCGCTCTGTGTCCTATGTTTGCGACATGCAGAAAACAACATTGGTTTAAACATAGGAGAATTAGACGCATGTATGTAAGTATCGCGGGCGGAGATGATGTGTGGGGCGAGCATAGAACGATGATGTGCAGCAGGTTGCACGAAAGACATTCGTGCTTCGTGCGGGATAAACACGCGGATTCAGACTTGGTTCTTGCAGACATGGTTTGCTCCGCAACTACTTTTCGTCGTGAACACCTTCATAATTGTTTGCGTCATTGTGTCACAAGGTGGAACACACTACGCACACCTCGTCGCACACAGATGGGGGTTCCATGGCTGCCATGATGCCTTCGGAGGTTGAAATTCCCCGCTGCTGCAGGCGGTGGTGTGTGCTTGTGCAAGACACAGCAGTACTAGCTAAGCAGTAGCGCCCCCTCCCGAGATCGGCGTCCCGAGATCGAATGCCCGAACCTTTTGCGGGTGCAGTTTCCGTCGGTAGAGAAAACGGGAACCGGTTTTGGAGTATACCGTACCGTGGGAATCCGGTTCCGAAATGCTTTTGGAAACAAAAAAAAATCTTTACCCGACTTTTTGAACATATATTGTGCGGCGGAACCCAAAAAGAAACACGATTCAACCCAAACGCAGAACGAGAACGCACTCCGCTGGGTCGAAATACATACAAAGGACATCCCTACTTTGGCCGTCCTACACGATCCCCACCCGCAAAGGGCGTGTCTTTTTGTCAGCCTGCGCGGGCGGGCGTCAGAAAAAAAATGTCCCCCAAACCAAAAAAATCTGCGAGGTGCCAGCGGTTGATAGTAATCGGCGGCGAGGACAGAGTAGTCAAGCAGACATGGAGATAAACCAGGGCCGGGTATACGCTGACGTCTGTGCTCCTGGGCAAGGGCACGCAGAGGAGTCGTGGTGCGATCAAGGAGTTTATAGCTAGCAACGATGAGCTAGTTGCCGTTGGAAAGCAGCACGCTGAGACGATTCGGGAACGAGCAGAGGGCAGGCGCCAACGTCCTCCGCACCTGCTGCTGGTGTGAAGAGAACGCGTGTCAACGCGGACCTTGAGGTCGCTGCATCGGATTCTGTGCAGGCGGCGATCACCAGCGGGCCAAGAGGGGGTGAAGCTGCACCACGCCCGGCGAAGGCGCCGCGAAAGCCAACGGTGAGCCCATCTTGTTGACCAAATTACTTCTCCCGCCAAAAAAAAAAAAACGAGCGTAGTCTATATGTTTCCCCCGCCTTTTTCATGAAGTTCGTTGTACAGCAGTCGACCCCGCTCTCAAGACACACCACGTTTTCCCCAAAAAACAAGTGTTTAACGCGGAGAAGTGTCTTTAAAATTCCGGGGCCACTAACCCACCATCCCCGGGGCCAATGAAGGCGAAACATATGTCAAAAGGTGCGCATTCGCAGCAGAAAGGCGACCATAAGAGGTGTTGTTTGAAACCTACGACACAAGGTGATTTGAAGGTCGCAACCGTACTGTACCACCAAAACGCTGAAAGCGATGATGTTCTACGACCTACGCATCGTACATGTACACGACGGTAGTGCGCTGGTGTTGATATGGGCTTAATTATTTGCTTTATTTTATTAATTAGGCGTTGTCCTCCCCGTGAATATCTTGCCCAAGATCTCGCTACGCACCTGAGAATATCGAAGGTTGTCCAACGACACTAGGAAAATGTAGGTTAAGCAGAAACACAGAGACCAAAAATGTCGGGAAAGCACAGCGACAAGGAGGACACCGCGCCTCCCAAAAGGTCAAAACGAGCAATCTCTGCTGTCCGTGGCCTTCCTCTCCGATGCCCCGACCACAAAACGCGTGCATGGGTCGCCCGCACGGACACTGATAAACCAGTGACACCAGTGCAGATTTGAACTGGCATGTCGGTTCGCCGCATGGCTTCAAGCCGGCAGCAGACGAACCGCTAGCAGATGGAATGAATCTTTCCATACACCCACACGCAGTGTGCGGCTGCAGCAGACCGCTGTTGATGATCCAGGATCTACAGGTGCTGCAGCACATTTTCTGGGGGGGGTCGAACGGTTGAAAACCCTACCCTCCCCTACTTTTGCACATCTGCCGGGCACCATGTTTCTGAGATTTTTTGTGTCCTTCAAGCGGGAAGTATCTTTAAAAATGATATCTTTAAAGCGGGGTCGACTGTATGCATACGCACAGCGTATACATCATGTATTGTTACTGCTATACTACCAATAAGACACGTGTAGACAACAACAACATGCTTGCCATCAATTTCGTTTCCAATTGCTAACCATGTTTGTGGTACATCTCCCTCCGTCCTCGAAAAACACTATGACTGCCTGCAACAGCGGGTCGAGAAGCGCCGCGCTGATGTGCTCGAGATGGTGCGGAAGGATCCCGTGTTGGAGAAGGAGATGAGAACAATGCTGGGGGTGCAAGGGTTGGAGGGCGTAGCCGCAGTCCACACGGAAAACACTCGCGCGATGGCCGCTTCGTTGGGCACGTTGCAGGGCAACAGCAAGAGCAACATCGGCCGGGTTGCGTATACGATCGTGCTGGCCGCGGTGGCTGGAGCTGGGGAGCACACTTGCAGCCCTACCGATCCGTGCAACCCCGCAGAGCGGTACCCTCCCGCTGAGCCGCAGAGTGGCGTGAGCTTCGCCCAGCGAGCGGAGAGCCTTGGGGTGAGGGAGAAAACGTTCCGCGCGGCGCATGTCCGGATGCACCATACCAACCATACCATCCCCCCGCCGCAAGCTTTGGAAGAGGGGCGCTACTGCTGGACACGACGCAAGACAAGGAGCGACGCGGCGGACGAACGTATGCTGGAGTTAGCGATCCGGTTCTGGCACTCCGACGACGTCTCCCGTGCATCGGGAGATTCAGGTAGGCGGGTGTAAACAGGCGGTTGATTGCAACTGCTTCTGTTTGCCGCTGCTGTTGTTTCGCGCTACTGCGGTACTGGTGATGTAAAAATAGCTTGCCACGCGTTTCGATTTCTTATTCAGGGAAGAACGCCATGTGGAGACCGTCGAAGATGGCAGGGGAGGAGTACCATCCCCGACAACAGCTCATGGTCGCGGGAGACAAGGTGTTTCGCATGTTTCTGGCGTGGCCGCAGTATATGGCGCTCAAGAAGGAGCTGCTGGAGGAAGACCCCTCCTTCAATGACCCTGGCCGGACAACATTTCTATCCACGCGGTGTGGATGTTTAGGTAGGTCGAGGAGAGATTGGAGTACAGTTATTGCCATGTATTACTCGGCAGGAGTTTACGTGAATTGATGCGAGTCTACAGTTTCTGGTGGTGCTCATATTGCGTGAGCTAGCTAAGGGTTTAAGGGTTTTTACTCGCGGGGAAGATCAAAGAGAATACTGTCATTTTTTTTCTGACCTTTTGTTGTTTCACTTTTCCCACCCCAAACCGTGTTATCCGTTGTATTGTTCCAGTGGAGCCAAAGGTGTCGCAGTGTGTCTGCATGATCCACATCCAGCAGAATTTGTATCTCGACGCCCTCAGATTTTTTATGGCTACAATCCACGCCAACTGTGACTGCACGTGCAGCTGGTGCGAGGGGCAAGGTTGTCAGAAGTGGGTGGGGATGTGCAAGAGTCTTCACGCGTTTTCGGAAGCGCTAGCTTGCCCGAAGGTAGACTTGCTGGCGGGAGACGCGTCCGGTGGGTTTGAGTTCTGGGGTAGAAAGCCAGCGTGCGTCGCGGGTACATGTGCTGAGTGCGGGTTTGGAAAGCCGAACACCATCCCTACCGACTGCCAGGCTTTCGCGAGCCATGCCGAGAGACCGGTGGGGTGGATTCGTTTCATGGACCAGAAAATGTCGGATGGGACCGTGCACTCGGAGCAGGAGCTGCCGCAGAGCGGAAAGCTAAGCGAGCTGTGGGAAGAATTCATGGCGCACTCTCTAGTGGTGAGTTCCAACATAGTCGCGTCGTACCGATTCGATAGCAAGTCCAACATGGTCGCGTTGTACCGATTCGATAGCAAGATGGTTTTCTCGTTCAACTCAAAGTCAATGCCGTTTTGCTCAGAGTTTATGCTGTTATCGTTCTCGCCCCCCTCCCCCCCCATCCGTTCCCGCCCCCCACTCATCTCATGTACTATCCCAAGTACATGGAACACCACGAGCTTGCAAAGTGGCAGTGCAATGCCCACAACATGTGTTTCCATACTGGAGACGTTCCCTCACGGCTCGCTGCTGATCGAGACAGGCTTTATTGAGAAGTGCAAGCATGAATCTTCCGCCATCTTGACGTGCTCGACGGCGGCCTCGACGACCATCATGGTGGCTTTGGAGTACCACAGCCCGCAAGACAATGGACGGCACACGACGGAGGCGTGGGTGTACGACATGGACATCATCCTGAAGTACTACACAGTGGGGGAGGGGAAGGCGGCTACTGCCGGCACCCCGGTCCCGACGGTGCACATGTTCACCGACGGGTGCGGCAAGCAGTACAAGGGAAAGCGCAACTTTCGTACCGTGGCGGAGAGCTTGAACCGGCTTGGTATTTTCCTGGTGCACAACTTTGCTGTCACTTCGCACTTCAAGGGCGCCCACGATGGAATCGGGGGTCTGCTGAAGACCCTCATGAGAGAGGCCGAGAGAGAGGCTTCCGCATCCACGACACCGCCGCCGCGCACGACTTGCTTTCAGCATAGCTAAGAGCAAAGAATAGGACGCAGGAGGTTGCTTGGGGAAGTGGTCGCCCTACAAGATCGCAAACTTCAAAATGGAGCTGATTGGAGCCACGAGATCCCCCGCCCGCGTGTTGATCTGACGGGTATCCCTGGAAGTTCCAAGTTGTACCCGTTCATGGGGGCGGAGAACCAGGAACAGAGGCTTAGAAGTAGCCTAGGGGTGGAACCAGTAGATTCTGGAGTCGTGGTAGTGGCAGGGAATGAACACGCGAACCCTGGCCCCGAAGTAGTCGGACCAGCCCCGCGCCCCGACAAGGTTTCGAGAAAGTACACGTGCTATGTTCGCAAGGCGTCGTGCTACTGTTCTATGTGCAGGGTAGGAGCGTACCCGGACCGCATGGTTGCAAAGAACTACCCCGGGATCGTTGGCAAGGTACATGAGAAATCAGGAAAGGATAGACTGGTTCCTGCTGCCGACAGTTGAGCAAACAATTCGGTAGCTTCGAGTGCCTCACTTGTCGTATTTATTTATGTTCAATATCTCGTTTGTGGTTATCGCTGTTGCTGCTGCTGCTGCTGCTGCTGCTGCTGCTGCTGCTGCTGTTGTTTTGTGTTGTGTTGCTGTGTATAGCGTGCTGTGCTGTTCTGTTCCGCCAGTGATGCTCCGTTGTCGTTGAGGAAACTAACGGATAAACCGGGATGTACTTTTTGGGTGTGTTTTACCGTCAAAAACAATGTCCTTTACCGTCAAACACGCACACTAATTAACCAACACCAATTAAATTAGTGCCTAAAACAAATTTAGCATGAGTATCGCAGCATTTCTTTCATGCATAACAACGTGCATGTCCCACGCACATCATTTACTGCCGTCAGCGCGCTATGTTGCCCGCGTAAAAGCGCTTGAAAACGTGAGAAAACTGATGAAAACACCGGGGGGGACAAAACCATCCCATCCCCGGGTTTGCATTCTTCTTTACATTAAGTCATATAAAACTGAGAAGGTTGCTGAAAAACCCCCTTCCGCACCTCCGTCACCAAATCTGACCACGGGAATCGTGTACACATGGGCAGAGGTGATTACAACCAACTTGTCAGAGCTTAGCGGGTTCGGTGACGCTGAATCTCGACGTCGGGCATTCGATCTCGGCCTTGGGGAGGGGAGGGCGCAGTGACGTGAGAGTGGGGGGTCGCCAGCTAAGAAGCAAGCCACGCACGGCGAGGGTATACGTATAGGAGTTCCAGTAGGGGTTCCCAGCGGCTGTTGGTTAACAGAAGAGAGAACCATATAGAGGCAGCGGCAGCGCGGCAGCAGCGGCGACGAGCTGGCAACAGCACCTCGTGCTACGCACACACTCGTCCCGTCGTCTCGACAGCCATGCCATCAGGCCAAGAAGACCAGCTCACGTTCCTCGACGATACGCTTATTTTGGTAATTTCTTCGGCAGGGCTCCTGTGCGTAACGGCGGCGGTGTTGTGGGTTGTCCGGCAGTCGCCAGATTGGCAGAGGGCAGACCGTCAACCCGCAGGAGATCAGGATGGAGGCGCGGGCTTGCTCGGCGGGAGGACGAGAGTTGTCCCTGGTGGGCGCGAAGCGGCGAAGGCGGCTCGAAAAGAGGCCAAGAAGCGAGCGAAGGCAGAGTTCGGCCGATCTTCGGCTGGGCAAAAGCGTCAGGTGAAGGTGTGTGCTGCTCCTTGTACTGCCGTAGCTTGGGCCAGACTATGCATACCACGCACCGAGTGTGGCCTAAGGGGGGACCACCTGTACCTGGTTCTCCGCTCGACCCATATTTAGGGTGCGCTCGTACTCCGTGCCCTATCACGTCTCACATGTGATCGCTACCTTCGCCGGAAACTCTTGAAACCATGGCAGGGTAAGCGATCAGCATGGCAGCAGCAGCCGCGTTCTCACGCGGACAGGGAGCGCACAAAGGAGGAGGAGCGGAAGGAGAGGTCTGCGGAAGGTCTGCGGCGACTGAAGAGCTACATTCTGGATCACAAGGTACGGAAACAATTGAAACCACTGATTTCGTTTGGCGCCGTTGGGCGAAAAGCTCCCCTTTGCAGTATTTTTCGGACAGCAGGGGCGGATGACGCGTGCGAAACGAGGGGGCGGTTGCTATGTGCATTCACCCAAATGCAACATCCTTCAGAACTGCCCCTTGCTGTGTACACACCTGAAGCTTGTGGGTAACATGAGGTTGGGCTAGGATCACAAGTCCCAAAGGAGTGTTGCACATTGGACCCAGATCTTCGATAGGTAAAAAGGCTTAAAAGATAGGTATCTTGTTCAACCGCAGAGTACACGGGATGGGTGACGTATGCAGGCGTCGGAAATAGGTGGTACGAACTGGCTGCTGCTGAGTCTATACAGCAGATCCGACTTATATTGCACTCAAGCAGCCAGATATGAAGAATGCACGCCTTAGGTGGCTTTGAAGCCACGCTAATCCCTAATGCCCTCGTCATGGCGGTCATCAATGATGATGTGGTCCGACGCCGAACAGGTAGCAATTCCAAGCCATGTCAACACCACAGCAACGTCCATTGTATGGGTAGGACACCCCCCCAGGTCTTGGCAGTATAGCAATATGTAGGACTGTGCACACGAGCCCCCGAAACACAGCAGGGGCGCTAGCAATCCTTACCAAAGCTACCACTGTGGCCTACAAGGTCAGCTCCTCAATTGTTGTGCCATGTCAAACTTCCACGGCCGCCATCTTCCTTTCTCGAAAAGGTGTCATCTTTGGAAGATCTAGAGGTTGAATTTAGTTTGCCATCAGCGGAGATCGTGGATAAAATCGAGGAGCTGGAAGCCCGCGGTGATTTCACGGGCATCTTGGTCGACGACGCGCGAGGTAGCAGCAGCGGTGGCTCTTTTGTTCGTGTTGGCGAGGGCGAGATGCGCGCTCTTGCGGCCTTTATCAACGAGCGGGGGCGACTGACGCTTGCGGAAGTTGCCACTGAGGCGAATAGGATGCTGGGTCTTTCAGAATCACGAGAACAAGAGACCCGAAGAAGAATTGCTCTTGGTGAGCGGCATTTTGATGAGGGGAGTGGCGAGGTGGGGGACGAACACGGTGGTTTAGACGTAGAGACTCAGCACCACGCCGCGTCGGCTTGTAGGGCACCCGCCGAAGCACTAGAGTCGTGAGGCGTAGTCAAGTTGTAGGCACTTCGAAGCCTTGGAAAGACAGGTCGCCAGAAATCACAAGAGAACGGGCTGTATGAGGCAATAGAGACGCTGGCTGATCTGGCAGCAGGAGCAACGAATCAAGCTCCATGTTTGACGACCAAGCCTGGGCGGACAAGTTGGGTGGATGAGGAATACGGCTACATGTATTGCGTTGACAACGACCGCAACTTTCCTGTGAATAATAATCGTGGAACAACAGATTCTACAGTCGGCAGCGTCAGCGCATGCCATATCGCAGAGCTTATTCCCAGGCCCTCGGGTTTATGTGGGTATTCCATCTAAGAATATGGAGTGCACTGACAAGAGGGAAGGAGGCATGAACATCGAGGACCCCTCGTTTGTGCGAATGAAACCGAAGCTTCGGTCTCTCGCCATCATGTGCGGCGTCGTAGAACGAAAGGCCAAATATCCCACCAGGGTTTGATTGCCAGTCGGTGCGCTGTTTGCAGCAGCGGAAATGGCATTACATGCCTCTACCACTTGCAAATTGTTGCTTTAACAAACGTCTTGAAAAAAAAAATGTATCGCGACCAATCATCCTCGTGGACGCGAGATAGCCATATACAACGCCTAACGCGGCACACTTGACCCTGTCAATCGTGCTTTTTTGGCGAAACCACTTGCAAACCCCGCACAAACAGACCGCTAACAGTATAAATCCCTCCCACGATAGCGCAAACGCTGGTTATCAACTCGAACATCGACCGCCTCGTGTCGGTGTATTTGACCATGACGCTGGTAAAATCGTACGAGAACTCGACGCCCAAAAGTAGCGATGACGAGGACAGGTCTTGTAGCACGTCAGCTTCTGGGACGAAGGCAACGTTGGACGAGTACGTGTGGGTGTTGACCTCTGCCCCGTGCATACGTCGGTGAAAGATCGGCACCACCTTCAGGGAGTACTTGACCAAGCCCGACCCCGCCTCCGACACGAACGTGCTCCTCGCCAAGGAATTCCTTCCCACCCCCACCGGTCCCTTCACCGGAGGCCCGAACCCAAAGTCGTGGATCTTGTGGGTCATGTTCTGGCCCGCAACGGCTTTGGGACCGGACCGGGTCTCTCCCTTCGTCCGGGCAAGAAACCTGCCCGTAAAGATGACCCGGGAAGGGTCGTGGTGCATCACGTGGATCATGATCGTCCCCGCCGCCCTCTCTACGGTTACCGTCCCATCCAGCGTGCAGCCCAGGCCGCCACCTTGCGGTTGGAACGGATATCTCTCGGTCTTCGATGCTGGTCTCTTGTGTACCGATACCGCCTCCGAGTTTGGAACACCGCCCTGAGGATGATCGGTGACGACCTCCAAGTCTGTTGGTTGGCAAAAGGAACAGCAGGCGGGGGAACGAGGAGGCAACTCGTTGTTTGTGCTTGCGAGTTGAGCATTGGCCCGGGCGTCGCCTTCCTTCCTGAGGCCGCCCACAACTTGTTCGCGTGATGGATTCGCGACCAACATTCCGGCGCTTTAAACCGGGGATAACACTCACTACTTGCGTGTTTGAAGTTTGCAAGTCATGTATCTCCCAACATGCCTACTGCACCCGAGGAGTACGGATGAAAAACGAGCGAATGATCATTACTTCTGCGAAGCTGAGATTCCGCCAGTCCTCATACAGATCAGGATTCCTTCAGGTGCCGTACACACCAAACTAAAAACGTCACGTACCAGCCAACACCGCAGGGCAAAACATTGAACGTGTAGATTGCGGACGTTTCGTACAAGAACTTTATGACATGCACCGGATTGACTACAGGTGAGCTCAGCAATACAGAAACTGTGCATCTGCTACACATGCGGGCCGCAATAGCTGTTGAGACAGCTGGCTGGCCGGATGATGGAAACACCAATTCACGGAACGCAAGCTCACTGACGGCACCTTAAAGAATTCGAAGCGTCCACTACCTCACCAGCGATAAATAAGGTATCTTCATTCCTCATGCTCCGACAGTAGTATGCCATCTTGTGAGCAATCGTCGAAACCAAACACCACAGTACACGGAACATGGCACGCCTCTTCGCAGCAGCTTCGGCTACTGATGGAGGACGACTGCACGGCGTCGGCGAGCACACATCCACACCGCAGTTCGCACTGACCTTTGCATTCTACGAAAGGGAACGTGGCGTGCAACCGAGCGGTAACGGCGTCGTGCTCGTGGAAGTCCGCGACCGCCATGTGGCTCGAGGTGTCTACTTTGATGTACGCAAGCAGCTCCGATATGACGAGCACCGCCATAAGCGTCACTGAAGCTATTGAAACTGTTCGACGGGCCACCGGGCAGGAACGTTTAACACGGGGGAGAACATGATCATGCTGTCATTACACGTATCAATTGCTGATATCGATAGGCATTTTGTTTCGAGATTCGACAACATCGCGCCAACGCCTATTTCAACGTTGGACATGTGACACCCAGAAAGTCTACAGGCCAAAGGTTCAGATTGCGCGGGAGGGACAGACTGCTGTTTTGTCTACAGGGAAAAATACGATGAGTTCGCTGATCCATGATGCCCTCTACTCATGTAGCATCTGAGATTGAGACTCTCTCCACCGACTGGTGGTTTTGGATATTTCCTATTAGATTAGACTTCAAGCAGATGCCGCCCGTTGCAGCAGAGCCCCTAACGCTTGATACGGGCCGGCCTAGGTCTTCACAGGTCAGCTTTCTCAGAGATCGTCGGATCTCTCAACCAAGGATTTCTTTTCCCAACAAAACGTGCTGTAACATACGCATATGATGCTCTAAAACGGAGATATCGAGCCTGAAAAACTGGTCAAAGGTGTGTAGACCGGAAATCAAAGTGGCTACATTAGTACCGCACCCCGACCCACCTGAACCCACCCCGAATCAAGAGTGTAACTATCGTAACACCCCAGAGCACGGCGTCGCCTGTAGCATGAGATTTAGAGTACTACCCATAATCTATCAAGGGGTGCGCCTAGAGGAGACGACGTGAACGCTTACGTGAGGGTGATGTTTGCCATCTACGCCAGGACAGCGATTCCATTAGGGGAGAACGGGAGCGGAGGCGTTGGGGTGAACATCTTTGGTTGTTGGCAGACAATGGGACGACGGGAGCCAGGAAACGCGGAGGAACTCAAGTCACCTAATGCTCCCACAAGAGATTTGTCGAGGACGCCTTGGACGGCCTTTTGACCTAGGTCGAACCGCCGAAGCCTGCTAGCTGTAAACATCCCGCAAGAAGAGCAGGTAACTGCATCAAGAGAAGGTACCTAGCAGAGGCGCGTTGGATACTGGCAGGCTGGGTCCTGCCAGACCCGGACCAGCTTTCGGGGGCGACGCTGTATCCTCCATCCAGATGATGGTGTGTATACAATGATTTTAAAAAAAATAGCAGAGCCAGATGCGCCAAACAACACCCCGCCGCCGCATCGCCACCGCACAACCCAACATCGATTGTACATCGATACGCACACATTTCTCCAGCCGCACTTCTCTGCCTCTCATTGCTCCCCCCCCAGCCTGCAAACACCACGCCGGAGTCTCCTACGACCAGCGCACGCCTTCCAACGCGCGCAATGCACACCTCTTCGGCTGCCGCCTCCCGGGCCGCCCATGCGCGTGCCGCTGCGCTGTCGCTGGTGCTCTGTCTATTTTTTAACACGCCAACAACATGCGGATTCCAGACGACCACCATGATGGTGGCGAGGGCTTCTTGGAAGGAGTACTGGCTGGCCAAGAACGGTGCGAAGAACGCCCCAGCGGCGGTCCCATCGACACGAGGTGCGGCGCGGCGGAGCAGCCGGACTAGATGGGAACCCACGAGGCCCGCGTGGTGGATCGCCAAGAGCCCCGCCAAGGTGCAAGGCTCACCTCCGGTGCTTGAAACGCCGGTCCTGGACGGAGGAAGCTTCGACAAGGAGCAGATAACCGACGTCCTACAGCACGAGTACCGGCACAACCTCGTGCGCGTTGCCCAGAAGTACGACTCCCTCATCGAGAGCGTGGAGGGCGTGGACGCGATAACCATCAAGGAGCTGGATGGGTGGGTTCCGAAAAAATCGTTGGGTTGTTCTTCGTTGGCGGTTTGTCGGCGGCGTGTCGCATGTCTGGGACCAGGGCTTGCTTACTCTGGTGTTGGGGCGAATTTTGCCCCCGACACTGCTTAGAATTGTCTCTGCACCGATTCATGGGTTGCATGAAGCGAGTAGGTTCCCTTTCTCTGTCGTTGTGCCCGACGCGCTGCTGACAGCGGTAGCAAGTGTCCCAAGAAATATGCAACGGCTGAAAAAATTATGTCACGAACCAGCCCCCCCAAACAAGGTCGCGGGTGCTGTTTGCTGTTGCTGTAGAATCTCACGTCTCTTGGTGGTTTTGGATTGGCCAAGGCAGCCAACTGCTTCAAGTGCGAAGCGTTACATGGTGACATCACGATCATCGGGGCACAAGGCGGCCGTGCGAACCATATGTAGCGAACACTGTCACTTGTGATCTACCAACCCATTTTGTGATATATGAAGCTATTCTTTCGAGGGCTTGAAATGAGTCGCGTGCGCGCGATTGTATACAAACATTCTTCTGCTCTTAGTGTTGGCGGCGGCGGATGTCAGTCATTGTGTGTGGATGTGTCGTGTGCGTGTGTTGCTTGAGAGAATATTTTCGTATGCACAGCAAAGTGCACAATCGCACACGCCTCACGTTGCGCATGTGCGCTATGTTTTGGTCGTGTTTTTTGGCGGCTGAGCAATGCCACCCATGGAACGTACTGCTGTAGAACAATTATGCACGTGACATCAGAGGAACCTATTTTTATGTTTTGTGACTTCCCGTTCGCATATGCTGCTGTATTCGAAGGGCTGTTTTTTTTTTTTCTCCCACGATTGGACTCTGTCGCCTGCCCCTGTGGCCCCTATCCTCCATTTCTACCAGCTAGACGACCCAACCGGGGTCACATAGGGGGGGGGGGGGGGTAGNTTTTTTTTTTCTCCCACGATTGGACTCTGTCGCCTGCCCCTGTGGCCCCTATCCTCCATTTCTACCAGCTAGACGACCCAACCGGGGTCACATAGGGGGGGGGGGAGGGTAGGACCCCATCCTGTGGTTCCTGCCTGAGATATTCTTATCGCGAGAAGGGTACAGCAATCCCTTCCCTCGCGACTCATGAAAGTCGATCAAGTGTACTAACAACGAGCTTTGTGTCATGAGTGGAAGGTGTTTTGAGGGTTCATTCAGGAAACCTGTTGGACGCAGGACTTGCTTTGATCTGGTTTTAAGTTTTAAGCCTATGTGCTGCTGCTGTACAACATTGAGAGATGAGTCATGCTAGCTAGAGCTAGACTTATCACTCCTCTTTGCTGTTGATGGGAGTGCAGAAATTGCTTGCTTGTGGTCGAGAAGAGTTTTGCAGCAGTCCTTCGCCCTCCGTTGTTGCACGTTTGATACTCACACCTGACGCACGACGCGGTAGATGTATGTAGAACAGTGTAAACCCCACCATGAGGGACAAAAAACTCGATGTGTGGGCATTACGTTGCAGGAAAATAATAATGCGAGTAGCAAGCGCCTCGACCCGTGTGCTCATATTTTCCGCGCCGCCTTGTCTTTTTCTTGATTCTCCCCCCCCAACGTGCATGATGTTTTTTTTGCGCCCCCAGGGATCACATGCAGCTGGACGTTGTTTACTGCGATCAGGGAGAGCGAACCTGCGTTGCGGTTGCTGTACCCGTCATTTTCCCGTATCACTGCAACGACGGTAAGCATGTCAGACATGCATATGTCGGGAAAAGTGTACTGCTGTAGCGGAGAAACAAGCCCTATGACCGCTGCCTTCCCCGCCCACATCGTTTCCTGCTGTTGTGTCCATGATGGCCGTTATTTGTTTTCCTGCCGTCAAGATACTCACACGAAGCGAGCTTGACCTGCAATATTACTCCGATGCCTTACGTGACGTGGCGTTAGCGACCAGAAGAATATCACCCGAAGGCAATAAAATAAATCCACCCATACTGCGCGCGTGTATGCGCAAGAGATGATCCTTTGCTGACCTGATTTTCGGTCCCCCGTTTTTTGGTGCGCTCCTTTGGCCGTGCGACCTGCGCGATTCTTCCTCCCCCCGTTGGTTCTATTGGTCCCATCAGCTGACTGCGTTATTGGCGTAATCCACGAGCTGGAGCAAGCGGAGAACGTGGAGCCAAGACCAGCCATGGCAAACGTTCCCCCGGTAGGAAAAAACAACAACAAAAGAGCACAAGATAAAACGCGACACAGGTGTTCATAGTGCCCGCGTGATTGCATTTGTCTCTGCATCTGCATGGCGCAAACACACTAAGTAGTTTTGCGAGATTGGCTGTGTTAGCTTTCCAGGAAAAGAGTTTGTTGTACTCCAGACCTTGACCCCGGTATTGTGTTCGTTAGGTCATTATGATCTCTTGTACTCGTGTTTGAAACAGTCAATATCTGGTGTCATAATGCACAGGTGCTCTACAGCTTTTTTTGAATATTGGCAGTAAGCTGGCATGCAGTCCCGGACTACTCCTTCAATCGCTTCTAACGCTCTTGCTGCCAAAGTATGCACGCTTAAACATGCTTCATTCTTTCTTCTTTTCACCTGGTTTCCCGCATCCTCTTGCTCGCTTCCCTTGCAGAAGTACGTGTCGCCGGAACTTATCGGTACGATCGCAAGGATCTGCGCCGTGATGAACCGAGATTTCCAGGTTCGGGGTTGTGTTGTCTTGGTGGACGTGGTGAAGAACCAGTTTTATCGCGTGCTTGATTGGAGAGGATGCCGATCGAAGAAAGGTTGTGATTTTCTTATCGCCCCTAGCGTGTGTGACGGAAGGCCAAGCAGTTGTTTCAGCGTCAAAGTTTGCGAGCAAAGAAACATGGTTGCTGTATCAACCAACGCGGCTGGAGTTCTACCAGTACTTTTAAGGTGTTGCCGCGCACGTATGCGTGCATGTGAATGAATATGTCAAGAACAAGTCAAGAAGTAAGCATCAAGTCCTCGGGCGTGCTCCGCAGAGAAAGGAGGCGTTTCGTCCCCCTCTCGTATCCTTCATACCGGCGGAACCGCACGAATAGCGGTTTGTCGATAACTATCGTGCACGAAGCATCGAACCCTTGGTCCCTCTTTCAACTCCAGTGCCAACTTCGATGCTGCTGCACTGCACCCTTCAGGACGAACTGAGAAACTTCGTGCGAGCATTTGGGGGACCGGTTGCTGACGAGATGGTCGGGAACTGCGAAATGCTCTCCCTCTCGCCTGACGGTTTCATGGTGCGGTCGGACGCGAACCCGGACAAGCCAGTGTCGATAGCCTTCTCCAAGGAATGCCAGTCTGCATTGGACTTCCAAAAGCAAATCCTGTTGGTCAGTGAGCGGGCCATGGCGATTGCGTAAGTTTTGTGTCCTCACGAGAGGAGGGCTTGGACCGGCAGCAGCTCCTGTAGATGTTGTGGGGCGAGGGTGTCTGAGATTCTTGAAACGCCTGCTTCTGTGGTGTGTAAGTTTGGATTGTCCTAATCGTGACGGGAGGGGGAAAGGTTCACGCGCGAAGGGGCTTGTAGCAGGCGGCGGTTTCAGATTATTTGCGTGCGATGCGGGTACTCGAGAGGAATTCTGGGAATTGTGTCACACTTTTTTGTTGGCTCGTGGGTAGGTTGGGTTCCGTGTGCGGCAGAGCGACGGCAAGAACCTGAGGGACCTGATGATCGTGGTGAGATTCAGGCCCGTTGGCAGTGTCCGAGTTCATAAAAGTGAGAGCAGTAGGGGGGGCGACTATATGCTTGACATCGGTCTTGCGAAAGCAAGGAGGTTTGGATGAGCTCTCCGCGGGCTAAAGAGTCCATTGCTTACGTGTAGTTTGTCATTTCGGGCCGAAGCCGGCGCTGAGTTGCTGTTTTGCAAATTACCAAAATAATCAAATAGTTTACGCGAGACACGTAGAAAACAGAGGATATGCAGATGAATGGCCTATCGGGTTGGTGTCAAGTTGTCACCCGCGGGAAAGAATGAACGGTGCAGACTGATGGGTTTTCGGGAGGGGTACTTGGATCCCTCTCACTTGAATGTGTGCTGGTCGTGTAGGTTGTACGATGGTTTGTCCTGAACGGGACGATGAGGCAAGCCGTCGCCACACAGTCCTAACGATATCCTGGGGTCGTCAGCTACTGTGCGAGTAAAGGGCGGCTTTGTATCTGGTTTCATGTTTAGTATCTTGTCATGTTGTTTATAAGGCCATCTTCATCCTTGCTGTTATTCTGGCAGGACGATTTTGGTTTGTAGTGTTGTTATTTCTCTCTTAGCTCGAAGTCGTTGAATCCTTCACGTAGGCGAAGCTCGAAGCTACCGTTGATAACTCACGAGGTTTTCCAAGATGAACAGTGAACAGGCCGGTTGCGAAAGAGTTCAAAAGGTGCCGGTTGGAGCGAGAACACGTCGTTTTCATCCCTCAATCTTGTTCCTCAGTCAGAATGTTTCATGGGCTTTTGGACGTGTTGACTGCTTGACCTACTTCGGTGGTGTTGTGCGATTTTTGGGGCGCGTTTGGGTGGTGAGTTTGGCTATGTGGCGAAGAGAAAAGGAAGGGTCCTAGGGAAGATTAGCGAGAGAAAGAAACAATTTCCGTCCACGCAGGTGTAGAAAAGCAGGCGAGCACGCATCCATTCCTGTTTTTGTGGTATTAGTGTTGTGTCAAGTCAACACTGAAGCTGACCCAGAGTTGCGGTGTCAGGGCCTGAATCAAGTAGTACTTTATTGGTCAGTCGACAGGATATCGAACGAAGACGTTGATGGTGTCCATGTGGGTCTCTGGTCGTTATATTTTGATGTTGCTGCGTGCCTCCGGAGATTAACGAAGATATCACGGCGGCCTGAAACGTATCATGTGCTCGATGAGTACTCGCTGTTCGAACAAGAAGATGTCGCTCGCTCGAGGCCCTGTTCCTTGTTTGCAACGTGTTGTGTAGTGGCGAAAGAAAGGTGTTCGGCAAGCACGGGCGGGTAAGGATCACGATGTAAATTGGTGGGGAAATGATGTGCCACTGCCGCGCGACGAGGTCGAAAGGATGTGATCGGAAGAGCGGTTCAAAAATATGGGTACATAGTTTCGATGCCAGAGGGGGTTGAGCTATTGCGTGAGATCGTTCAGGTTTGATTGTATTAATATGAAAGGCTTCGAAATGTTTGTTCTTTTCGAAGCCGTGACGACGTGTTGGGGGTTGGACATGAGATTCAGCAGCTTCTTGTGTCAGCCCGTTGTCCTGAATGTTCTGTTGCATCCAGCAATTTCCCACGCAGCGGAATGAAGCAATGGAGCCACCGCCGTGATGCGAGCTGAGAGAAAATGAGCGGGGCCAAAACATGCCGGGAAAATATTCCTTTCTCTTGTTTCCGGAGCATCAACCAATTCGGATTCGGATTATTTTGGACCCCGTATTGTAAGGAGGGGCATCACACATGTTTGCTGCACAACTGCTGTATGGTTGGAATGTTTTTCAGCATGTTTTTTTCCTCTCGCACCACACCAGTAGTGTTGCAGTGCACGAGGTCGCTGCCGACCATGTCCAAAGATGTTGCGACATGAACTACGACAAAGAAACGTCTCGAACGAATGACCTCGTTCCCCGTCACGAGCTTTCATTGGAACATCAAACGAGGCACGGACCGCAATGTATACGTCCCGTGGGCACAAGTACAACAACGAACCCTCAAACGCAATTAATTACGGTGTTTCTTACACGACATTTTCTCACCATAAACTCAGTAGACCTTCACCCGCAGCAGCATACTCCTAACGTTGTCTCACCATAAACCTAACGGAGGTTCACCTGCAGCAGACTCCCGACGTAAACGTTGTACCAAACAATAGGGCCCCTGATCCTGCCGCTACGCTCTCTCTCATAGATGTATGGCGTATACATGTGTACATGGGCATGGTTGCTCTCGACGGCAGAGGAAGCGCCGGCTTCACGCCTTGCACGGCACCCAAGCCAACAATCAGAGTATTTCTTGACTCCTCTCTTCGAGATTAGACAAGAACCCATCTTTAAACCAACCTCTTTCTCACAAACTCATACGACATTCGAAAGTACATGCCATCGCCAGAAAACCCGTTTCAAGTACGTTTCTATCGTATTACGTTAATCCCAAGTATTTTCATCCTTCAAAAGGCATTTGAACTGCCGACAACGACGTTCGTTCATTGAAGTGGTTCAATTCCTCCACGCCCATCAAACCCTCTCTGCCTTGGTGTCAAGTCTATCGAAAGCGTTTTTCTCCAACATGATCGAGTCGACGCCCCCATTCGAGTTAAGATATGGCGATACAACAGGTGTTGGTGACGACAACCTCCCGCTGCAACAACTGCCCATCGGAACCGCTGTACAACAAGATGAGTCGTGGACCACTTCCAAAAATACTGCTACAACCAACCCTCTAGAAAAGATAGATCGATTGACAGAGGTGAAAAGCGCAAAGCGTGAATCTCCCGTTGCTCGCTCGTGTCGTGCCAGTACTGCCGCTGGTGGCAATTCTGCCGTAAGCAACAACCCGGACAACGGCAAGAACAACAACAGCCCCCGGTACTAGAGTTATAGTCCAGAGCGCGTGAAACGATAGACCCCCCCCTCCCTTTATTTCAAAAACCGTAACAAGAGTTGCCCCCCCCCAAGCGCGCCGAAGCCGAGCACGGCAGCGGCAGGCTCAACGAATGAAAACAACGAGTTATGCTTGTCCGTGCATGTACAGAGGAGATGATGCAACAAAGTTTAATGATCGCGGTTGGTTCTTCCCGCTGGCGATGCTGCTCCATCAGTTAGACAAACCATAGCGCTGTTGGCGGGGGCCGGCTCGATTATATCCGTGGCGACCGGCGCTTGGCGCTACTGCTGCTGCTGCTGCTATTGCTGCTGCCGAAGCAATGCGATAGGACTTCTTCGAAAGCGTTGCACAAGTCCGTCAGGGGAAACAACAACGACATCAAGAGCAAGGCTACAGGAAGGAAAAAAAGGGAACAAAAAAGAACGAAAAAAACTTCCGCTTCCTCTCGGCGTTTTTGCTGTCCCGTTGTAGTCGATCAGGGCATCTCTTGTATCCCCGCCCCCTCCTGCATTGTACGGTATCAACTTCGTAAAGCCACAATACGAAACCTACGCGTTTCCTCATCATTCACTGGCACCATAAATTGAAGCCCGAGACTCCAAAACATCGGAGGAGAGAGAAACGAAAGAAACACAAACTCGTCGACATTTAACACACAACACAGCCTACATGTACGCACACACGCACGAGTCCCGCCTTCCCCTTCTCAACTTGAATCTAACCAACGTTTTCCCCCTCCCCATTGCATAGCAAGAACGTCCAACGAAAGCCTCCGACCTAGGGCGCCCCGAACCAAAGCCACATACACGAATACACGATGCGTGATTGATCCAATCATTGAAGACTAGTGGGTAGAACAGTGCCGTTCCACCCACCCACCCGGCAAACGATGCGTGATCCAATCATCGAAGATTCATGGAATAACGGTGCCGTTCCACCCACCCATCCCATTACCAAGATACGCTTCGCCACCTAGCGCGTATACGGCGGAGGCGGATCAAATGACGCGCCCCCGGCGGCCGCACCGTGAGCTCTCGGGGCGGTGGGCGAGCGGGGCGGCTGCGGCAGTGGCGCCGCCGGCCTCGGGGGGTTGGGGGTGATGGCCTTAGACCTGAAGAACTTGAGGAGTTGGTCCGGGATCTCGGCCATCGTGTCTGCTGCTAGCCGTGCCCCCATGCCGCCCTCGGCCTGCGTGGGCCATGAGAGAGAGGGAGGGAGGGAGGGAGGGAGAGAGAGAGAGAGAGAGAGAGAGAGAGAGAGAGAGAGAGAGAGAATATTAGTCAGAAAACACTGCATATTACGAGAGGCTGTTGATGACAAGGGGTGCAGCGCCGCAAGACATTGTATACGCTGCCGCAATCGTGCGTGTGCAGAACACTGGCCTAGGAGATTTGCACGCGTCTGCTCACACAAGGTAAGAATCTACAAGCTCACCAGGTTGTACTTCGAGAACGGGACGAACTGCACGATATCCCTCGTCGCTTTGGTTCGGGCCGAGTCTTCCAGCATACCCCCGTCACCATCAAGCCTCGACATGTCCTGCAATATATCGCACGCATTGTAAAAGCTAGCTTAAGCCTCAAGTGTGACGTGCAACCTGGGATACAGGTGGGGGCTAGGGTATGTTTTTTCCTATCCCTGAGCAAACCAAGCACGGAGTACAGCAGCAGCTGTCGACGTCGAAATCGAAAAAAGTCCGAGGAGCAGGTGACAGTTCGAGGATCAGAGAACAGTTCGGGGAACAGATAACAAGCGGCTGGCGGGAAACTCTAATTTTCGATCCATGGACAGTAGTGCTGGGACACAAGAAACAAATCAAGCAACAGCCTTGGTACATTAGATAACTTTGAGGGAGGATATCGACGGCCGTACCAGTCAACAACCGCGCGGAGGTAGGGTGGCAGGAGGAAACGGAACACTGATATTGCTTCTCTAAGGGAAACAAAAGGCGCGATTTCCGTTACAACCAGGAAGAGCATGTGCAACAGCAGCATGTAACTGCATATCGCAAAGTTTCAATCGACCACGAGTAGCAATACACAGGGATAAACATGTGGCAGGTAGTTGGTGAGGCTGCTGTTTGGTGCAAACCAAACCCCGCGAACCGAAACCCATCCAAAGGCAAAACGAGTAGACCACAAAACATATCAGGCAATCATTTGGCAAGAACAATAAACAGCAGGAAGAAACAACCCGCAGATATATCTACATGGAAATAAGCAAAACAACGATAGCATCAACCAATACCATGGTATGTTTTGTCTCGAGAAAAATAAACTCACCGAGAAGTCGGCCTGACCGACGCCAACGATCACCACGCTCAGCGGCAAGTTGGAGGCAGCAACCAAGGAGTCGATAGTCTGAGGCAGGATCAAGAGCACGGCATTCAATCCCACCGTACCAGAGAGGCGAAGCCGCCGAGCGGGTGACGTAGGCAAGGAATGATCGCTCAAGTGAGCCAAGGGGGGGGGCGAATGAAGACCACGGCTAGAGTAGCAGACGTAAGTGCGTCTTGCAAAAGGTTGCTGGGACTGCTGCCATGAACACTGCCAAAAGCGCCAACAGAACAAGGCCACGAGGAAATGTCCCCCGGATCTAGCAACCTATAATAGTAGGAAAGTCCAACCCCCTTTTCTCACAATTAATAGTCCAATTGTCGAACTACAACCAGGCGCACGGAGCGCTACAATATACTGCTGTCATGAAAAAATAGCTTAAGCCGTCCGACGCCCTGGAGTTGCAACAGCCCCCCTCCAGCCACAGCGCTCACCTGCTGCATGTCGTTGATGATGCCGTCGGTGAGTATCAGTAGCACGTCGTACCGCTGGTCAGCCTGGGTGCTGGGGCGGTTGGCCCTGGCCATGGCCGTCTCCAGCACCTCCGTGAAGAGCGTCGGGCCCGCCAGCTGCACGCTGGTCATGGCGGCGGAGTAAGCCTCGAGGATGCCTTGGACGCCGTAGGCTTCTTCAGACCCTCCGGCGTGTGAGACCCTAACATTTTTTGTTTGAGCCGGATCACGGGGATAGGTGCACGGCAGCAGATGTAAGCGCGGATCACCACTTAGAAGCCTTTTTGATGCTTTCTGCCAAGCGTTCCAACTAAATCTGGTCGACAGGAGGGTTCGATGCTCCGTATCTTGCACCAAGCGTTGGGTTTGCTAATTTTGGCGAGGGCGTACCATGTTGCCCCCTGGGGTTAATCCATACCCCCAAGAAACGCCGCGAAAACCGTGTCCGTGCGAATACCGCCTACTGCAGGCCCTACCAGATACACCGCGGGATGGGGAAGACAACTCCGTCGAAACAACAAGACAAAAAACGCCACAAACGGTAGAAAACCTGCTGGCCTACTACGACTGCTGCATACAGACCACATCACACCTGCAGATGGGGAAGCAGTGGCTGACGGGCTGGCCGTTAATCCTGCCTCCAAACCCATATACGGGAAACATTTTGTCCGAGTCGTAGTCCTGCAGGATGTGACCGATCGACCAGATCGCCTGCTGGTACTGGTTCAGCCTTCCGGAGGGGTCGAGGTAGTGCAGGCTCTGCGGGTGCGACGGGCTGCCGTTGCTCCCTGGGGGGGATTGTAGGCGGCGACAGCACAAGGTACACGTGAAGGTTAAGGGGCTGTGGCACGACCAAGCGGCGACATGACCGGACAGGGAGCACGCAGTGATGCCCGCTGAACTTCTGGAAAGATCGGTCAGTCTCAACGCGGCAAAGAACGGAAACGCTTTCCATGGTCATGATCTGGGGCACCATGAGGGGGGTTTACATAGGAGGCTACGGTATATGCCGGATTGAAAACGGAAACGGTAACTGGCCAAGACGGGCACGTATCTGAGGCGCGTATGTGTGGGTGGTGTCTTGTTTGCTGCGCAGACCTTGACACACAATGTGCAGGCATGAGTGCAGATACCTCAACGAGCAGGATAACATACCGGCAGACACTTTCTCTACTTTTCTACGACAGCAAGTAAGCAGTGCAGTCAGTCAATCGGCATTATAACAGCACGCACCCGTGAAATCGATTGCACACGTCATGCTGATCTGGAGACCACCGGCGAGGTACTCGAGCAGCGTGGGCTGCCTGTGTACCTCCGCGTGGTCCACCTTGAGCTGCCCCTTCCCCTTCTTATCCTTCTTGGGGTGCTGTCGGTCAAGCACCGTGGGGCGGGACAGGAGAAAAACATGACCGGGGGGGGGGGGGGG